TTAAGTAAGCCTGTTTGCTTCAGCAATTTTCCTTTATCTTCATTTTTTTCAAGCCAGGAACACCATCAAACATTATGTAGCTATTTCCTTCTTACAATCCCTATGTAGCCCCCTCCAGCTCACAAAGCACAGGTATAGATATGGATGGGTGAATGGGATCAAAACAGGACAGGAAGCCAACTGGGTGTTGAGGATGACTGGTATTCATAGTAGGTAAGGCTAAAAAAAATTCCTAACATAAACACTGTAATGTAAATGATCAGATCAATATGCATTATGGGATATCTCACTCTTCCCTTACCTTCTCTATCAGGGTAAAATTTTGTGTTGAAAGCCACTCCACAAATACGTAACATGAAACAGAGCAGCGTGCAAAATGCTATCAATTACAGCAACTAATCAGCACTGTCATCTCTCATTCTTGGAACTGCTCTAAACTGATGAAAGGTCATTTCTGATAAGATGCTTGGTTTACTTTTCCCATCCCCATCCCTTGGGGACTTACAACTTCAGGGAAAGATGTGTACAACAGATGACATACCTGGAGCATCAAGTCATGGTGGAACTTTGGTCTCCACTCACCATCTACAGTTGGAATGGTTTCTGTGAAATCTCTTCCTACATGCTAAGGATACCACAAATTTCTAAATGTATCAACTGTGAACGGCTAGGGAACAGAGAAAGACCTTTTCCCAAACCAAACCAAGGCGCCTCTTCAAAGACCAACCAGCAAAGTGGTCTAACCTAGAGCAACTAATCAGCAGTCATCTTTCATCCTAACCACTCCAAATTGATGTACCTATTTGCTGTGGGTTGCTTATCCACCCTGCCCTCCAATTTCAGGTTGTAGATGCTGTGTTGGCCATAGTAATATGAGTGAGCTATGAAGTGTATAATTTTTTTCCCTATTCTAGGTGTGTGGGTCTTATAACAGCTAAATAAAAAATATAGTTATGATTTTTATTAAACTTTACCTACATAGTTTTCAGGGTCGTTCTACTCTGAGTACCCTGTGATACAAAGACACACTAAATAGCTTTGTATTGCACCACACAGACTGAACAATTGTGCATTATCTCAGTGAGGGATGGGCCGAGTGTTCGATTCGAACATGAGTTCGAATCGAACATCGGCAGTTTGAGCTCTCGCCGAACGCCGAACTTTATGGGATGTTCGTGGTTTGTTTGACAATATCCCATAGCAGGCTGTGTATGGCTCCCAGCCTGCAATGAAGAAGAGGCAGGGGGGCTGGGCAGAGGAGCCGCGGCCGGACCGGATCCTAGACGAAGGTGACGGACCAGGGGACCGGAGGCCGGGACAGCAGCGGACGGACCAGGGGACCGGAGGCCGGGACAGCAGCAGATGGACCAGGGTACCGGAGGCCAGGACAGCAGCGGAGGTAAGGGGGGCAGCGAAGACGTGCAGGGGTCTGTGTCCCCGCTGTCTCCGCCAACACAGGCGTGGAGAGCAGCGGGGATTTGAAGGGACAAAGGCCGCTGCAGCCACAGTTTTACTACATGTACCGGCAGCTGTATGGGGGTCGAACATTGGACCCCCATACACTTGCATTGAGTTTGAGTTCGTATTCGAACATTTCGGCCGTTCGAATACGAACAGAACACGGGTGTGTTCGGCTCATCCCTAATCTCAGTTCTGGTTGCTAGGTAGTTCAGGCTATCTTTAACAGAATGCTCTTTAACCACTTGCTGGCCAGGTGTTTAGACCCCCTTCTTGGCCAGGCCATTTCTCAGTATTTAGCGCTGCAGTACTTTGACTGACATTTATTCCGTCATGCAACGCTGTACTTGTGTGATTTTAAATTGTTTTTTGCAACTTTTTTTTCCCCACTTAACTTTATTGTTATCACATAGGGGGCTAAAGGTGCCCATACACTGCTCGATTCTCGTACGAGAATCGGGCGAAATCCCGCGATCGTACGAGAATCGAGCAGCGTGAACTAAGACGTGCAACCGTTTCTACTGTACGGTCGCACGTCTTTTGTCGAGCCAACATGCTTGAAAACCCGCCGAGAATCGTACGATTCTCGGCGGGTTTCTAGCCTGCTCGCCCGATAGCTGCGGAACGGGCCGGTGTGCGCATGCGCACACTGCCCGTTCTGCATTGCCGTCATCGGAAGCCCCCTTATGTGATAGCAAAGAGGATGTGACAGGTCCTCTTTATGGAGACATCAGGGGTCTCCAAGACCCCTAATGTCACCTAGGGTCCCCAAAGATGCTGATGAAGTACAGATCTGCTTCATCAGCTTCTGAAGCTGGAGAGTGACACAAGAATGCGGAAGTGATTTAATACACATCACTTCCGCATTCTGACAGGAGGGAGATCATGTACCGATCTCTCTCTGATCCCCTGTCACAGAGCCACCATGCTGGTCCCGGGCTTGCATCGGTCGGAGCCCGGGACCAGCGGGGCAGCGGGAAGGGGGAGGCACGGAAGGGGGGGGGCACACATACCGGCACCTCATAGAAGCGATCTGCCAGCTCTATAGCCGGCGGATCGCTTGTATGTAAACAGACATCGCTGCCTGTTTTTAAATTTGGGCACTTTCCTGTTCAGATCCAGAGAGTTCCCGGCCGGCCGATTTTTTACAACGGCTGGCCGAGAGGTGGTTAAAAGTAGTCGTAAATAAAAGCTAAGGTTAATTCTATTATCAGGATATAGTTATAAAGCAGCGAATGTCACATTCACCAAACATTCACTGCAGATGGATAAATCGCTGTTAATTGGGGCACGTCCATCAGAAGCAAGAACACAAAAAATAAGCACTGGTCCTCCATGTTTTAGGGAAGGAATGAACCAGGTGCTTACCGCTGAGAGCACTTTCTCGCTCAAATGTGAGCCGAGTTGGATATTTATGAGTCTCTAATACGTAGAGTACTGTTTTGCCTAATAAAGGGGACCCTGCGGGGCCCCGAAATAGTGTGTTATGTGATACTGAGCATGTGTCAATAAAGGTGTATTGATCAGCATACTGGAGTGCCAGTGACCCCTTCTTTTCTGATATAGAGCAGCACCATCCGTTTGCCACTGTAGCACCCACCTATTCCTAAAGGGACCCACCCGTCAGGAGTGCAATGGGACTTGGACATTAATCTAATATGTACAATTTCCTGGAGCTGATGAAACAATAGGATCTGAAGTTTACAAAGGTTTATGGTGTCCATGTCAGTGCATAGTGACGCCAGTGTAAATCACTGGATTTGGAGAGACTTTACACCGTTATGCTCAATACTTAGTGGCCGGCTTATTATTGGGTGATATACGTGATATTATAACCTTCGAGATCATGTGCATGACATACTCTTACAGGCTATTTTCATTGATATAATTACATTTTCTTTTTCTCTGGATGTGAATATATGGACATGGACTGTAACTGTTGTTCTACTATTCCTTACAAAGATGATTTGAGTCACCTTTGCAGTACCTCTCCTGGACATTATATTGTATATTTGAGCCACGCAGTGCCTTCCTTCTGGAAATTGATTTACTCCATTACCTAGCACCATTTTGAATCCATGATATCATTTATTTATAGAATTGTTTCAACTTTTGGTGTGTTTGTACCATTATTGCTGTCATAAATATGTTTGTTGTTATCAGGATATATATATATTTATTAATACTGATATAGCAGGAATTATTTTTGAGATCTACTACAGCCAGCTAGTCCTCACTTAATGACTGTTCGGACTTACGACCAAAACAAGAACTTGGGTATTTACAATATGCAAACCTAAGTAATCTTTCGGACTTTCGACCAGAGGCATGTTCAGTTGCTCAGCCGCTGCTAGTGCTGAGTTAGCAAACCGCCGCTGAACGCTGTGCTGCAAGTCAGCGCTCTCAGCACTGCTAACTTAGTACTCACAGCGGAAGTGAATGTGGATGCAGAGCGTTGAGTGTGACGGAGAAGGTGGGGACAGAGCATCAGCGGCCACTTTAACTGTGGGTACACCTGGCAGCGCTGGAGAAAAGTGCCTGAACCCCGATGCAGGATATCAATTCAGTGTGGGAACCCATAATAATTGGTATTTAGTGGTCAAAAATATTATCCTCCGCCATTTTGCTTAGCACTGTCCGGCCCAAGTTTCCACTGAAGCTGCAGCAAAACAGCTGCTTAGCACTTTGGTAAGGAACTGAACGTGGCTCAGCTCTCCGGTCAGTATTGTACACAGACCGGTCAGTATTGTACACTGTACCATATATTAACCCCTTCATGACTGAGCTAGTTTTTAGTTTCTGTTCCTAAATGACTATTCCCCGCTTAGTGACCAATTCGCCTAACGACTAGCTGTAAGAACAGAACTCGGTCATTAGGTGAGGAGTATCTCTATCCCAGAGGGCAAGCAATTGAGCTGCAAGTTTGAAAAATGACTTGCTAAACTATTGCGACTTGCCAAGCAGCGAGCTTGCAGAGCTCTTGCTAAGACCTGCAGGACTCTTGCTGTAGACTTGCCATGCAAATTTGCCACAAATTCAAAAAGTGTCAACTAGAACTTGTGCTGCAAGTGTTCTGCAAGTCTACAACTTGCCAGGAATGTGTGCAGCAAGTTAACAAGAATTACAATTTAACCCTGCCACAAGTTTGTGGCAAGTTATCCTTGCTATCTGGGATGCTGGTACAAAGATTTGCTATGTTACATATAATATAGATATTATATATTCAGACATGTAGCTGAACTGTATATGAAACACACAGCACAGTCAGAAGTCTATTCCTTTGCAAAGAGCTCAGACACGCTTGCCATATCCAGCCTACAGCAGACACATAAGCTGCTGACACGTGACGCCACAGTTCTTGGCGTGGGCGGGGCTTCACAGTCAACGTCTTACTATTGGTAGACTGCCAGCGGGGCTCGTGCGGCCCACGTTTCACAGAACACCGCAGCGAGGTGGACGCTGGGAATCGTAGTCTCACACGCCTCCTTGCGCTCATTGGCTGCCGGCTGTCCTGCCCCGGGGGCCCAGCTGAGGCAGTGCGCAGGCGCGGCATAGCAGATTACACACATTGCAGAGAGATGATGATGGCTGGACTGAGGGCTAGAGCTGTGGCTGAGCAGCTTCGGATTCTGCTGACACAGGGCGCCCGGCAAAACAGGTGAGGGGTGGCTGAGTGTTCTGGCTGTTCACTAATGTAAATATAACTCGTATATAGTTGACCCAGAGAGCATTTTGCCTCGCATGGTGTGATGTGTCCCTAGTGAGCTTTATGTAGAATGGGGGCAGCCGCAGAGTCGTCCAGGGTGTCCCCTCGTTTCCATGACAACAGAGCAGTACTAGATGACCACCCAGCAACACTGAGCTGACGGGGTGTCCTCACTGCTCACCATGTTTTCCTAGTAATTACTACGGATTACTACTGCCATTTCTCCTGATTACCAGGGAAAGTCCTAGAGGTGATGTGTTCCTGATGATGATCTGATCGCTGTGTCATACAATCCAATGTACACAGCACAAGACAAACATCAGAGCTTTATAATCCTTTCATATTTACTGGCTATTCATATTTTAATATGTGAAATCCGGTTCTAGATGTATGTAAATAATCCTGTTCCACCATACTGTAAGTAGATTGGGGAGGATTCATAAAAACTGGACCAGACAGAATCTGGAGCAGTTGCCCATGGCAACTGTTTCATTTCCGATACAAACTAAAGAGAGAAGCTGGTTGCCAAGGGCAATGGCTCCAGATTCTGTCTGCTCCAGCTTTTACGAATTCCCACATTTACACCTGTATGCTTTGATGTGCGTTGGCCATCATGACAATGTGCGACTAAAGGAATCTCATTATTTTCTATGGTGCTCATTCACACCTGAAATAGGCTCTTTTAGTGCTGGTTTAAGCCCTAGACCTCATGAAATATACGGAACATGCAGTTTTTTGTGTCTTTTAGCTCATGCCAAGTGGATAACTATATTTTATTCTACATGAAAAATCCAGTACAATGAGTGACAAATGTGCAACAAAGCCATGCTGAAAGTGCATGAAAATGCGGACCGTGCAGAGAGCATGTTGTTGTAAGAGAGATGTGTAGGCTGCCATTGCTAGCCACCTAAAAATGCTGTTTGTCTGGCTGTTATACTCCTCTACTGGCTGCAACCCTCTCGGAGTCTGTGAGCTGGAGCAAGTATGTAGATTGGGCAAGTTAAAAAAAAAAAATGTAATCGTTTGAATATTTGTTCTGTGATGTGAAGCCAGGTCAGTATGGCGGTCAGTCACCCAGCATTTCCTAAGAAGTCTACAGCAACAACCTTCATATTTCTCTCATCATTGTCAAAAAGCGTTATCTGATGCAGAACGGGTCAGTCATGTGTTCTATTATTAATACACAAATTCTAATCAGGAGATCGGAGTCCAATTAGAGTTGGGAGGTTATCGTTACAATGTGGCTCTCCCAGCTACTTGGGAGGCAATACCTATTAGATTGTAAGCTCTCAAGGTCCGGGCCTTCCTAACTATCTTGTCTAGAATTGGATTGTAACTGTTCTGTCCTCCTCATATTGTAAAGTGCTGCCCAAACTGTGCTATATAAATCCTGTATTATAATAATAGAAATGACTCCGCAGGTTGAATGTTGCCTCCCTGCTGCTACCGTAATATATCTCCTGCATACATTATATAATCAATCTTGATGCAATTACAATTTTATTTTTTTACTTTTTGAAGAAGAAATCTTAACCCTTGCAGTGAGGTTACCCCTGTGCTGCAAGGGTTAAATGCAAATTTTTTTTGTCTAGGGGGCTAAAACATCATCTGCTCCATGATCCCGGCTGGCTCCTACACCCCTCCCTTCATCCTCCCCCCCCCCTTCGCTCCAGCGGTCTAAGGTCCAGTGAGTCATCACGTCCAATACAGGGACGCACCATCGCTGGAGCGGAGGGGCAGACAGGCTGAAGGGACTGGTCTAGGAGCTAGCCGGGGTTGTGGTTTGGGTGAGTATAACTTAATTTTAACTCCCTAGACAAAAGAAACGCTTAACCCTTGCAGTGTGGGGGTAGCCCCGCTGCAAGGGTGAAGGTTTTATTTGCCCAGAGTTCTTCTTTAAGTGGTCATCTGATCTTAAAGCTCCAGCTGCGGCTGGTGGGTGCGACTACTTTCAGATCCAGCAATGTCTTAAAACTATGGATGTTGGTGGGATGATATCACCGCTCTAAGGATTCGGTGGCATTGTCAGTCCACTACGGATTGACGCGTGTGCCAGGGCTTTGCGGTCATGTGACTGCTTGCAAAATGTAACAAAAAAATGTTTTCATTGGTGTTTCTTCTAAGTTGTATTCAGGAAAAATAAGAGCAGTGGGGCGGCAAAGTCTAAAGCTGGGTGGTTGTATTTCCTTTAGGGCCCATTCACACCACGTCCAGATTGTTTCCGGACCCAAAATGCATTCTAATGTATCCCTATGCTATTTCTGGCCTCTGTTCACACCAGCTCAGTCCGTTCCAGACCAGAAAATTACTGCTTGTCCTATTTTGTCTGGTCTGTAATGCACTGGAACTGCAGACAGGTTCACACCATTATCCTCACCAGATCTGGTCCACAAAATGGTGTGAACCTGCCCTGACTGTGTCACTGCTGTCGGGATTTTTTGGTTCCCCAGAGACTGACTTTGAATCATTGGCTAGTAGTGGTCAGGTCGGAGGAAACATTGCCAGAGGAAGTGTGTAGGCGATGCCAGAAAGTTACTGCCTGTTCTCAGAAGAGACTGTGTAACACGTTACTGCAAATGTAAAACGTTCTTATCTTCAGCACGTATAAAAAGTGCCGTAAGCCGAGTCTGGGATCATGTGTGTTTCTATTCGTCACACTGAAAGCACCCTTTATACATAGGCTGTTCTAGTTCTTTGTATTTGAGTCATCTGTCTGAAATCTGTGTTGCGGTTCTTTAAATTGTGTCGAAGGGTAAAGTCTAACTAAAGGCAAAGCTTCTATTTCCATTTGGATAGAGTGGTGAGGGGTTAGAACCCCTGTTTGGGTATTTTAGTCTGCGTCTCTGTTAGGTAGATTTAAGCTGGTCATATACTGGTTGAAGCTTGGCCAAATTGGCGGGAACTAGACCAGTGTGTGTGGTCCAGTGGGAGGTAATACAAGAGGTGTTACAAAAAGTTTTAGCTTTAGGTACACTTTCATGTTTCAAAAAGCTGATTGTAAAAGTCATTTTAGGACCCAGATACCCCACAACGCATTGCTCTTCAATGCACAGTTTCATGTGCTGAGGTGTGTGGCATTAGGAAGCCTGTTTATATTGAATGTTGCTGTGAATGCATCTCAAAGAAATCCAAAATAGGTCCTGCTTTTATTTTTGAAGACCCAGAGCATGCATCTGTGCATTGTGATAAGCAGCGGCACTCTGTTTATGTATGTTGGAGTGCAGTTAAAGGAGCACTACAGCGCCCGATCGGCGCTTCCGGTTTCCCCCCCGACTCCTCATCTTGATTCCCGGGATCCGCTGCCCCATCTTGGATCCCGGGACCGGCTCCGAGGGCGTCAGGAGGAGGAGGACGGGAGATCAGCTCAGCAGTTCAAAGGTTAACCCTTTCAGGGCACTCGTTCTGCTCTAAAGAAAACAGTGACCACTAGCCTCTCTCCCCCTCCGCTCCGGCTTTGGAATGTCTTTTGTTAACTTGTATTACACATGATGACGTCACGGGTCCTCAGAACACCGGAGCCCGGGGGAGAAGAGGCTCCAGTCTAGCAGCCAGGCGGGAGCGAGGATCAAGGTACGCATATCTT